AGGAAATGAGGAAAGGGAGAAAGGAGGTCATTAGAGCTTGAGTTTTTGGTTTGAAACTTTGATTCAAGGTAAGGGATTTCTTCTCTTTCTCTTACATTGAGACTAGGGCTATGTATACATATAGGTTTTTTTTTTTTTGATCTAAATCTTAGATGTATGTTAGGAAACCTTTGATTCTTGATGTCTATGCAAATATTATCATGTTCTAAACAATGTTATGGTTGGGTAACTACTTTCTCTTGTTTTTGCTCTCAACCCTAACTTTTGAGAAATATGGATTTTTCTCTCTATAGTCACTCAATCTTGGCTTTGAAAACTTTAGTGGTTTGTGTTGAGTAATAAATGAAGTTGTGATGATCTCTTGTATTTTCCTAATTGTTTATTGAAATTGCCTCATAATGGATTTGTGGATCTTTGGAAATTTGCTTGTAAATTGGAGATTTATGGAATCCTTGGTTATGTGTGACGATTGTTGGGATGATGTGATCTTGTATGGTTGTTGGAATGAACATGGATGAGAGGTTCCTTGTAAGGATGCTCATTCCATCTCAAGAGGTTCCTTGTAAGGATGCTTGAGAAATCAAATCTTGAGGGTGAGAGGTTCCTTGTAAGGATGCTCACACCAAAAGAGAACAGTATGTGATTTTCTCAAGAGGTTCCTTGTAAGGATGCTTGAGAAACCAAATCTTGAGGGTGAGAGGTTCCTTGTAAGGATGCTCCCGTTAGAGAGGACAATATGATATCATGTGTGGGAAATGATTTATATTTTGGCAATGGATGTTTATTAGCACTTGGTTGAAATTGCTCATTTCTATTACTATTGTTACTTAAACTTGAGATTCGTTGAAAAATGCACCCGTTTCATTTCAAATTATGTATCTATGCTATGTTGAAAAATGAGACCGACCCTTTTATATATTTTTATAAACCTTGTATGAGTTGAGAGGATTTTGCTACAGAGCTTCGTGCTCACCCCCTACAAATAACATTTTCAGATTTCACACTTGAGGAGGAGTTAGGAGCCGAGGAGCCCGCCCATTGGGAGACTCCGCTTGAAGGGAATGTGGATCCCGAGGTGGACGCTTAGAGCGACACTTTTATTTTGTTCTAGACTAGATTATACTTAGAATATCCTTTTGAAGTCTAGTTCTTTTTTTTTGTTATTTTCGCTGCGTTATATTATTACATTGTGGAGATGTAAAGGCCAAGATTGGACCTATTCTTTTGGGATGATAGTGTGGATATGACATATGATGAATGAAAGTTTATTTTATGATGGATAAATAGACCCGGTGTGGTCAATTGTAATATAATTGTACAGGTTGTGTTTTGGGTAAAGCTCCCCGTACAAAGGAGACTCTGCCCAAATTTTGTTAAAATATGAATGGTTGATGAATGAACTTTCGTTGTGATGAATTTACGTAATGCTCTCATGGGGTGAATGGTTTTTAGAATGTAATGTCACCCAAGGGGGTTTTTGGGGCGTTACACAAGGAACCTCTCACTCATGTGCATCACAAACAATCCAATCAAGCATACAATTCCAACATTTATATCAATTTACAAGCATCTGTCCAAAATCTCCAAAATATATCATGTAACAATTCCACAACCAACTAAGAAAATACATGAGATCACAATAATATTATTTTTCTACCCAACACAAAGCACTAAGGTTTCGAATTCCATAACAAAGAAAGCATTTAGGAAGAAAATACATCACTCTCCAAAAATTAGGGTTTTAAAACTAGAAAGGAGATTTCATGGGTATTAAACCCTACTTTGTTCAAAACATGTAATCCTTGCAAAAAGTCTAAGAGAGGATGATTTCATGGCATAGATATATCATTGATAGCCAAAACATACATATATAAATACCCTAGCCTCAATTTAAATGAATGAGAAAAAATTCCTACTTTAAATCCTTAGTTTGTAGGAAGAACTTAGAGCTTTGATCTTGAAACTACCCTTAAATCTCTTGTTTTTCTCTTCCTTTCTTCCTCTCTAATGCTCTCTAGGGTTCCAAGAGGTGTGGGGTGAGAGTGGAGTGAAAGAAATGAGGGAAAATTGAATGAAAATGGGGTTTAAAACACCTCAACCCCGAAATTCACTGTTCACAGTCTCTTTCGATTTTCTCCAAAATTACGCTTTTGCCACTAAGAACCTCTAATTTGATCCATATGACTACCCTAAAGTTTTTTGACGTTACAGATTTATTTTTAATGTTATTTTAACCTAAAAATATTTATTTTTATAATTTATCTCAAAACCAAAGTCAACGTACACCCAAAATACTAAAGTTTCTATTTTACTCATCCGAATCGGCTATTAATGAAGTTTTGTGTTATTTGTAAATAAAATGTGATGAAGGGTGCTTATTAAAGCCTTTTATACTTATTTGAAGCCTAAATGTACTCATTATTCTTATATTTTGATTTAGGATGCAAATAGAGATGTTAAATGCAAAACGAAACTAATTGGACTGTTTTGACATCGCTTCGTTATTTGGGCATAACTCTCTCATCCGAGCTCCGATTGAGATGATTAAAAATGATATGGAATTCTAAGAAAGAGATCTAAAACTTTCATGTTTTGAGTTTTGAGAGATATTGACTGCATCAAGGTCTAAATCGGATTTGAAATTGCAGCCAGTGTATTGTTTATGTGCACTGTTTAAGTTAATTGGGCTGTTTTGACATCACTTCATTATCTGGGCATAACTCTCTCATGTGAGCTCCGATTGAGATGATTAAAGATTATATGGAATGCTAAGAAAGATCTATACAACTTTCATGTTTTGAGTTTTGAGAGATATTGAATGCATCAAGGTCGAAATTGCGCTTGAAGTTGTAGCCAATGCACTGTTCACGTCATGTTTCATCCATTTTTCATTTCCAATCCATTCCTAAGTCAACCAAATCCATCTCAAACCTCTCCAACACATATTTCTACACCAAATCTATTTAATACAAGTTCTAGGACCTAAAATTTTATATTTTCACTTATTAAAACCAAATTTCAACTATTATTTCCACTAACATTTTAAATCTCTACTTTTCCAATCTACTAAATTCAAACACACCTCACTACACATATCCACATTTTTACCACACTTATTTACTATATATCTGTATACATATATAAAAAAAATGTGGGGTGTTACAATTACGCTTTTCGAATTTCAACAAATACGCTTTCTTAAAAGCATATTTGTTGATTACGCTTTTAAAAATCAATGAAAGAGGGTACAATAAAGCTGCTTTTTAACAATTTGATAAACCCCTTTTAAAACTGGATTTATTGACTCCGCTTTCAAAAAGTACCGTAAATTTATAAATAAGTTCAAAACTATCATAGATTGATATTTAAGTTTAAAAAGGGTTGTACATTGGTAATAAATATCATATATATGTATATACAATTCAAATTTCAAAACATAAACAAAAATGATTTTTATTTTTCACGGTTGAGATCAATTTAAATTTTATTTTAAAGTTAATTCGATGGCTAATATTAACACTTCAAGTTTAATAGAAAAAATAAGTCTCTAAGAGTGTATTTGAGATGACTTTTTAAAAGTGATTTTAGCACTTATAATTTCTCATAGGTATTTTTTTAAAAAAAACAAAATAGTGTTGAGAACCACTACCATCACCCCTGTTGCCCCACCACAACTACTACCACCATCACCACCGTTGCCACCACAAACACCACCATTGTCGCCACCCCCACCACCACCACTGCCCCACCTCCACCATCGCTATCACCATCGATTACTACCACTGTCACCACCTACCACTATCGTCATTCTATTATTATATTTTTTACCACCGCCATTGTTGTCCACCACCACCCACTACCACAACCCCATAACTACTCGTCGTTATCCACCATCGCCGCCAACCACTGTCACCCCACCCCACCACACCGACCACTACCAACCACCACCATCCGTCATTGCCCATCACTACCGCCACCCATTGTCACCAACCCCTACCACTATTACCACCACCACCATTCGCCACCACTCATCACACTATTACCCAGAAGAACCCATCGTCGCCCACCACTACCAACCACCATTATCGTCATCCACCACCACCCACACCCACCATTACCACCATTATCTATGGCTGCCACTACCACTATCGTCACCTAAAACCTGCCACCACCATTACCATTGTCATCCACGGTTGTCACCACCATTACGGTCGTCGCCACCTACCACAACCATCACCGTTTTTCACCACCACCACTGTCGCCCACTTACCACAATCATCACTGGTGTTTAAATTAATTTCTCTCTCATCTATGTTTTGTGATTTGATTTTGAGTATGAATATAAATATGTTTATTGTTAATTATTTTTTTTATTATTTCGTACCTTCAAGTACGGGTAATAATTAGTATATATATAACAATTTCTGCCATATTTCGAAATCATAAAACCCTTTTCGTGGTGGGACTTGCAGAGAGACTTTGTGATTATTGATCCAATACAGCCACTGCCCTCGAATTTGTGTTGGTCATATTATTTCGGACTATGAACAACTCTGGAAAATTTCATTCGGACCAAACCATTCAAGATGTATTATAGCAACGACTTATCAGACAGTCGTTAATACAATAGCCATGACCAGTGCTTTAAATTTAACCAATCTAATCTCCCTTAAACGTAACTATGCTGTGGTGAGAAAGGAGCCAAGCAGGTGTGTGATGGTACGTATCATGCGTCATCAATATAATAATCAGAGCGCCTTGTTTGTATAAAGCACAACTTGTTTGCATAAAATACAATAACCGCTCAGATAGTTTCTATGACTCATATCATATGGCTTGTCAAGATGATTGTTCAAATTTCTCGCTTGCATAAAACACAATAACCGCCCAAATTATTTATGGGGCTTATAAATCATAAAGCTTGCCAAGGTGGTTGCTCGTGTACAAGCTCTCAATATTATATGAATATCTGTCACACGAATGCACAGCAAGACACTGGATCAGAGAAAAATAAGTTATCAAGTTATATGCAGTATCGATACAAAAGAGGTAAAAGAAAAAAAAAATAAAAGGCTTCAAAGTTTCAAATCAATGATCTATTCAAGTATAAACAACTCCATAGAACATCTAAAATTAATTGATATCAAGTAGTTCAGATTCCTAAACACTCCAGAGGCATGTCCCAGTCACAAGTAACTACTGCTGCTGCATCATCTTATACAATATCAGTAAGAGCCATTCAAGGATTTCGGGATAAATGGTCATATAACACGTGAGATACCAAATAATTCTCAATCAAACAATCCATAACCATTAATGCAATCAGACTGGTCTCACAATATTTTGATACTATGTTCATTCTATAGTGTACAAGATTTTACATCTCAGCAGCAAATGATTTGCCACATCCACAGGTTTGCGTAGCATTTGGGTTTTTGAAAGAGAAGCCTCCGCCTATGAGTGCATCACTGAAGTCCAGTTGCATTCCATATAGAAAGAGAAGGCTCTTTGGATCAGAAACTGCAGAGATCAGTTAAGGCAAGAAATACTCATCAACCACATTCAAAAAGTTAAATCAGTAACATAAAAAATAAATATTGCATTACATCTACAAGGAGAGGGACGCATAAAAATCTCTGGTATTCCACGTGGGCAACTGGGGGTTTTTTGATATATGCACAGCCTTGCCTGAAATGCCAAAAGTCTACCACAGAGCCATCTTTAACACTGCCACTGCTTGCTTTAATTATAAATTTCTGAAGGTTTCAAATCTGCACTCTCAATAAGAATTACTCTTCCGATAAGTGCAAACAGCCATAAAACAACAAGGGCACACTCCATACAGACATGAAGTGTAACAGAAGAAAATAAACTGTCCACACCACCCGTAGGAGATCCCAAAAGAAATAAGAATCCAGGTAAGCCACCACAATTTGGAAAACCATAGTATACAAGACCAGATTCTTCAGCCTTGTGTTAGATGCTCTCACATTCCTCTCAGCCCACATGCATCAACCAAGCACAAGGAAGCAATCCTTCATATCTTCTCAGCCTTTCTAATTCTCTTGGGGAGAGCCAGGCACTTCAACTTCCTAAACAAGCTCAGAATTCTCAGCTGCTCAACATAGAGACAATAGCATACTCTACAAAATCTTTAACCACCAAACAATGAGAAGCAAATGTCTAAGACTTTCTCCTGCTTACTTCCAAGCCAAGAAAGCACTAGTTGAACAATATCTTCCTTTTTCACCTCATATTATCCAATTAAAATAGACTCTCAGCACACCTGTTCACCATCTAGACCAAAGCATGTAGAAGGATTTTACCAAGATCTTCCCATTGCCAGTCCCTTTCAAACTTTCCTAGTCTTCTTCCCCACTCGCACGAATATAATAAAAAAGGCTAAGAGATTCTATCACTTCCATCTTCCCATCCTGACGATCACGAAAGTAAAGTCATCTTTACTTCCATGTATTCTCTAACTACTGCAAACTCCCATACCTCTGAAAACCCAACCATGTCAAAAGCAATTATTTACTACTCAGGATGGTGTACCCTCGGCTTCACATCAGAGCTCCAGGAAAAACCTAACCTGTAACCCATTCCCGCCACTGGGCCTATGAACTTTGAGAAATCAACCCAACCCATCAAATTTCTTTGACAACCCCACTCCATGAGAAGACCTCACACCCCCCAATGAGTAGCCATATATCACTCCAATATTAACCTTCCCAAACAGAGCTTGATTAAGCAACAGTGGTTTTCTAGCCCATAATTCCCCTCATCTGACATAAAATGACACACTGTCCCAATTCAGCTAGTGATATTAGGATAAGTGTTATCACTCTCTCATGAAAAAAAAGTTCATTCTGAAGTTTCTCTAGCCTCTTAGTTACCAAGTAGAAATGGTCAAAAAAGGCTGTGTCCTATATATCCAAGCTAGAAAGTATGCTCTTAAGAAGAGTGTTGCGCCAACAAAATTTAAAATGCCACCAAGTAATACTGGAAAATTCAAATATAAGAATGATCGAAGAATTTTAACTGTCAATCTCTACCAACATTGCTACTACTTCTTGAAGTCTCACAACATAGAATAAACTTCTGCACTTCTCATGGTGTAGAAAACTGATGATATGGCTCTCTCTCGCGCGCCCACAATGCAAGAGTTAAAGAAGAGAAATAAGGGACCTAACTGATTCTAATTTCCAATCAACTTAATGCACGTCACCCAACCACTCGCAATCTGCTATGCAATAAACATTCTCGCCATTGGAATCCAAAGGGTTCAAATCTTTAGCTAGGAGCACGGACAATCACGTATTTTCTCACAACCTCAATTCCCATTTTTCTTAGTGTCATCCTACTCTTTGCAGCATATTCAAAGTTGAACAAAACAACTACTACCAAGTGCAACTCTCAGGCTTAGCACACAATATGTCCACATCCCTTTCGTCTGCTGACCTACTCCCAAAAAAACACATATAAAAACAAATAAAAAAGGACATCTTTGTAGACCTCATTAAATTATGAATTATTATCCCAGTAGATCACCTACTACCCCCACTCACGTACCGGACTAATGTTGGACAGTTGGACCATGTGCAAAGCCGACTCTCCACACAAAAGGGTAAATTTATGGGTGGTGCCCTCAAAGGGCTAATTAACTTACCCTTCATAAGAGATTTATCAAGTAGTCGAGCTACCACTAGGCTAACCCATTTAAATTATGAATTATAATAACTGGTATTACTCATTTTGCACTTACTCTCATTCTACATCCTAGTTTCTAGACATACATTTAGTTTCCCTTTCATACTTTTTTGCCCCATCACTCATTCACTTGAACATCTGCCAGCTACGTCAGTCCATGTATGTTCACTGTTGATTATGTATGTATTGCTAGTGGACTGGCTGACTTACGATTTAGTTTGTGACTTGTTGATTAATGGTTAGCCCAGTGATTAGTAAATCAGCATAGATAACTCACCTCCAGAGTACCTATTCATCCCAGACTTACAAGCTAAACCAAGAATCACGACTTGCCTCATTGATTAATAGTTAGCTTATTAATTAGAAAATCTAAATCAGCATAGACACCTGACTCCCACATTACCCACAGGACCCAATCCATCCCATTTAACCATTATAATCTAAAACTAGCAATTTTTAGTCAATAGTCTAAATGCACGCACACACAGACACAGAGAATCACGATGCGAAAAAAAATCTGGATTTTCTACAACATATTCATTCCAGCCACGCTCAAACATGCAAGAAATAAAGCTTTCTACACCAATCCTGCTTTAACTTGGGATTTGGTGCCAGAATCAAATATTTTGGGAAAACAATTGGTGCTCTAATATCAATCATTTACTTGAGAACCTAATGTGAGCAAGCAAACAAGAAATCAAAGACCTACCAATTGCAAAACCATTGTACTCGATGACCGAATCATCTGGTCTAGTGTTTTTTCTATTCTCAAATTCCATCGTGTAAGACATGCCAGAGCATCCACCCTGTTTAACACCGATTCTTAAGCATAAATCTTCATTCCGGTCAGACCTCATCTTATTCAAGTGCTTCAGTGCATTATCTGTCAACACTATAGCTGGTGCAATCCCGCCGGATGTTGGTGGTGCTGACACATACAAGAAGATTTATAAATATACACTTCTCAATGGCTATCATAAACCATTAAACGCACCCAACAGGGCTCAGCCAAATGACATTTGTACAATTACAATTGCAAAGCAAGTTTAAACAAATGAAACTAATCCTTGAAGAAAATGTTACAACTAAAACATGAATGTTATGTTGTTCGAAAAACTTACAGCACAATTTTTTTCCAATTGAAGAAAAAGTTAGCACTGCATGTATAAAAAAAGTGCACGATAAACAGACTTGAAGACAGGAGGATTGTAGGAATGGTTCTCTCTGGGTTGTATTGGTCATACAAATAGTACACTCCATACAGGTAATGTGCCGATCAGAAAAATTCAGCCAACACAATTGGTAAATACAAGATTTGAAACTTGCAGTTCACCACTTGCCCTAAGTTATAATTAGGCAACCACAAAATTACATGGATTACCTTAGTTGGACAACTTTTGATAACTTCATTACCGAATATAATTTATATCTCTACCTCAATTTGTTAAATATCTCATTTCTTTTGACCAATTTTGGAAAAAAAAATAAATCACGATTGTCCGATATTCTGCAGAGAAAAACATTTTTTATTATCTACTGTATTGAAGTAAATCTTTGTCATAAAACTAACATAAATACAATAATTTCAGTTTGTTAATTAACCCCAGTGAACAAGAATCCTGAAACAGCCAGCGTTCAATCTTCATACTAAGTACAGTAATTTAACTAAGGATCAAGGTCAAATAACTAACAAAGCCAAGCAAACTATATCTATTCTAAATCATGCCAGATATTTTTCAAAATACATATGTTCAGAGATCCGATTCAAAAAAAAAAAAAAAAACTTAACACGAATCAAATTATTTAGCCGAGCTGAATTGCATTATTTTCATCTCGAAATCTACTTATTTGCCTAGTATTCCTACATTTAATCCAGAATACATACTCATCTTATAACTAGAACTGAGTATAAAATGATTTTACACATACTTGTGTTTGTGAACGTATGAATTACCTTCAACTGACGCTGACCGAATTGCCAAGTTTTTTCTGCGATTGGAAAGTACAAGTGAAGATCGGAAGGAAACGGAAGCTGAGGTTCGAGGGAAACAGATTGAAGGCTTCGGTAAACCGCACAAAGAAGGACAGCGCAAACTTGCAGAGAATGCCATTGGAGTCACCACCGAACGGAGAGAGATAGACATAGAGATGAAATGAGGTGTAAATTTTTCTGTATCAGCAAATTTATGTAGAAAATACAGACCACGTGAGTCACGTGACCCTAGCAATTTAAGGTAAGCTGTTACCCGAGTTTGAGGACCACTTCGTTTTCTAGTTACTTTTCCTTTTTCTTTTTTTTTTGTCAGGTTTTTTAGTTACTTTTCAGGGATAACATTTTTTTATAATTTTTGGAGTTCCATAATGGACAGTGCCGAGGATATTTTCTTTATTGAGGTTTTATCAATTTTTCCGTTATTTACAATGACAGGAAACTTTTCTTATTGTTTAGGTAGTCATAATGGGACAAATACAAAAAATGGATAAATGTATTGACAGATTTAAAGAAAAAGTTTAGAGTCAGTTTGGTAATGGTTCAGTTTTCAATTTTTTAGTTTTTGTTTTTAATTTTTTAGAAAACTTGAAATTTAGAGTCCGTTTGTTAACAGTTCGATTTTTAATTTTTCGTTTTTATTTTTAATTTATTAGAAAACCTGAAATTTAAACTCATTTGATGACTATTTTAGCTTTTTTTTTTTTAACTAAAACCATTTTCAAATTTGGCTTAGATTTTGAAAATGAAAAAAAAAATTATTTTCAAAATAATAATAATAATAATAATAATAATAAAAAACAGGCGAGAGCTATTTAATAAGATCCTACCATCGAATCTTGTTAAACAAACTATGCCCTCTACCAAAAAAATCCTCGAGCAAAAATATTAAACCCTCAAATCTCTCTCATCTCATCGTCTCTTTATTTTCCTTCGTCTAGCAAAGGAGTTCCAGCAGCTCAGACATCTAGTAGATGAGTTCCAGCAACTCAGATGTCCAATAGAGGAGTTCCAGCAACAGCTTTGTCTCTCTCGTCTAAAGCTCTCTCACCAAGTTAAGTCCTTAGATCTAGGGTTTTTAGAATTTTTTTTCTTATTTTTTGGATATCTCTCGATTTCTCTCAGTAGCTAGATTCTTTAGATCTAGGTTGTTTCTTCGTGCTAGATTTATGTATTAGATCTATAAGTTGTTTCTTTGTGTTAGATCTGATTTTTTTAAAAAAATTTAATAGATCTGATTTTTGTGTTAGATCTGTTTCTATGTGGTTTTTGTATTTTTTTATGTGTGTTAGTCTTTATTATGTATTAGATTCATTCGCATATTTATTATGTTAGATTTTTTTATATATATTTTTTTTGTGTTAGATCTGATTTTGTTTTGTTCGCAAGCCATCTGCCAGAATTTTGAAAATATATTTTACAAATAGGCATTTGCGTTACATTGAAAAAGATTGATTTTTGACAACAAACTCAGTAGCTGATCGCGTGATGATGTCCCAATGATGCATAGATTATACTCTGTTGGAGAATAGATAGTCTAGGCTTATTAGGATTTCTCTTTCCTAGGTTTATTAGGATTTCTTTTCCCTTTAGGATTTCTTTTCCCTTTTTTACCCTTACTATGATTTTTATATTTTGCCTATATATACGGGGTTTTACTCTTAATTTGAGTATCTCCTTTTACTCACAATTATTTCAAGTTGGTATCAGAGCAAGGTTAGGGTTTGGGGTAGGGTTAGTGTATGGCTCTACCAGCCATACCGCCGAAACCACCCTGGCCATCAACTGCCTGAAAGTTGAATAGGAGAGGTTAAAGTGACGGCGCCGTCGCTGTCCGCCTTGATCAAGCCGTCGCTTCGTCTTGGCCCTCGTTTTTGCCCAATCTCTTCCGTTCAATTTTAGGCCTTAGTCTTGTACATTCTGTTGATCTGCCCTTGATGCAGTAGATCACTTATTTATATATTTTGGATTTCTGGGCACCGTGACTTGATTATTTGGGAGCTTTTTGGACCTTCCCTATTTGTCGCTACTGTTCGACTGAAGGTATATTGTTCTCCCTTATTTTATTCCTCTATTTATCTTAGAGTTATTTGGGAGCTTTTTGGACCTTCCCTATTTGTCGCTACTGTTCGACTGAAGGTATATTGTTCTCCCTTATTTTATTCCTCTATTTATCTTAGAGTTATTTTTCTGTCACGGGTGCCCCAGTATTGTTGTTGATATGACTACTACTGAGGGATTTGAGAACCCTACTGTTGACACCTCTACCGTTGAGACAATCTATAATGAATTTTGATTGTGAATTGAGTTGAGTTTACTCCTCTTGTTCTTGATTGAACTTTTGAATTTATCAAAGGTAAATCACATCCTTTGTGGCGTTCTTGCTTGTAATTTGGGTTCTTCAGACGGGTCTAGATTTTAATATAATCTAGGTTCTTGGAACGAGATCTCAACGGGTCTAGTTGCATTACCAGCATTACCGGGCATGATCTCTCAAAAAAGGTTACGGCACAATTGTTGAATGGTCGTAACTTCGCTGAGTGGTCACGCTCATTCCAGCTTTTCTTAGGACGTGTAAGGAAGCTTGGTTGGCTGACAAGATCTCACCCAAAGACAGCTGATGCCGACCCTGGATATTCTGCATGGTTCTCTGAAAACTGTGCCATTCTTGGATGGTTATTTGGCTCAATGGAGCCCTCTGTTTGCAAGATCCACCAGTTTCATAGCTCTGTTCCGAAGCTATGGAGCGCATTATCAGAGATGTATTCTCAGTCAGGACGGGGAGTTTTTGGCCCCCAATTTTGGGCATCCATGTTTGGTTTTATTCTCTAGATTAGAGAATTTTGTGTAATCTCCCTTTGTTGATAGTGAAACTTTGCTATTGCGTTTCACCCGTGGAAGCTACTTGCTGGAAGCTCCATCCAGAGCTTAAGCCACCTTCTCGCAACATGATCGCCGTCCAGTTGATCGATATGGTTGGACCGCAAAGATTTTATATCCGATCTCTACTTATGTTTCTTATGGTAATCTGTCTCCCACATTTCGAACTTATACTATGGCGAATGGCTTTACTCAGGTACCAGGTCGTGATTTTGGTGCTACATTTGCCCCCGTGGCAAAATTGACTACTGTTCAGTTAATTATTTCTCTGGCTGCAGAGTACTCTTGGCCTCTTCATCAATTAGATGTGAAGAATGCATTTCTTCACGGTGATCTGGACGAGATTATTTATATGGATGCACCACCGGGCTTTCGTGGTGAGGGGGAGTATGCTGGAAAGGTATGTCGACTGTCTGGAAAGGTATGTCGACTGCGTAAGTCTCTTTATGGACTGAAACAGTCACCACGAGCCTGGTTCTCTCGCTTCAGTGATGTAGTCATACGATTGAGGTTGCCCGTAGAAGCAGAGGTATTGTTCTTTCTCAGAGAAAGTATGTTTTGGATCTTCTTTCAGACACTGGGATGTTGGGGTGCAAACCGGCATTATCATGTATGATTCCAAACCTGAAGCTTACTGCTGAAGGTGAGGAGTTGAAAGATCCGACAGTTTATCAAAGATTGGTAGGTAGACTTATCTACTTAGCCAATACTAGGCCGGACATTTCATTCGCAGTCAGCCGAGTTAGTCAGTTCATGCATAGGCCATGTCAGACTCATCTTGATGCAGTTTATCATATTCTTCGGTACCTCAAGTCTTGTCCTGGACTTGGGTTGTTTTATGCATCAGGATCTCAGACCGGTTCTCTAGCCTGTTATTCAGATTCAGATTATGGGGGAGCATGTGATGATCGATTCTTGACGAGTTGGGTTTTTCAGTGACCTCTCCATCCACATTATATTGTGATAATCAATCTGCTATTCAGCTCGCTTCTGACTCTGTACTACATGAGAGAACGAAGCATATAGAGATCGATGTTCACTTTCTTCGGGAGAAGGTCAGCAGTGGTCTTGTTACTCCATCGTTTGTGGGGACCAGTGATCAAGTTGCGGATGTTTTTACCAAACCTGTCACTCTGTCTATTCTTCGGGACTCCGTTGTCAAGCTTGGCTTAGTTGACATTTTTGCGCCTAGCTTGAGGGGGAGTGTTGGAGTATAGATAGTCTAGGCTTATTAGGATTTCTCTTTCCTAGGTTTATTAGGATTTCTTTTCCCTTTAGGATTTCTTTTCCCTTTTTTACCCTTACTATGATTTTTATATTTTGCCTATATATACGGGGTTTTACTCTTAATTTGAGTATCTCCTTTTACTCACAATTATTTCAAGTTACTCAAATAAGAAGACACAGGATGAACCGCATACTCCATATGCTACAAGAAATATAATAGACTATTTAATGAAAAAAAGGCAGCTCACAATTTCCTTTATGAACAAGCCAAACCCAAATGTTGATATATAGCCACTATGTAACTACTTTATCAATATTCTAATGAAATTAATGGGTAGGCAAGTTGATGAGGTACCACAACTTGCCTCTAATCTTATTGAAATGTGTTTGGTTTTATAGAACTGCATTTTTTGTGTTACATCTGATTTGCTATAGCTTTCCAATCTTAGTTTTCCAAGATCAAATGCTGAGCAAGCCAATCTGTAGTAATGCGTGTGGCGGTTCAAATGAGGATAGTATAGGGTTTTAATTATCTCGAATTTTTAAATTCTATTTTTTTTAAAAAAAAAAAAGGTTTTTGATTTGTGTGGTTTGCATGTTACATGAATAATTGTGGGCAATAAATTATTGTGTTTGTTATATCAGACATAGTTCTCTGAGCTCCATGAGTGTGATTTACTTCTGAGGATTTGGCAAGACTACCTGCACGAGCAAGTTGAAGATCGGATGAGCTCTGAGAGTCAACCATCCGATGCTTAAGTCAGATGAGGGGTTGAGAAATGGACAAAAAAATTGTGGAATGAGGTTCTGTTACCGTACCTTAATTGATCTCCTACCTTCCCCTTTTATAGGTCCCCCCCATAGTGCCAATGGGAATCCTTTATCCTTTTATTTGAATTAGGATAGTTGCACTTTACACGTTTAAACCAGTCTTACTAGTAAAGTGGAGGTATTAGTTGAGTTGAATTAATTAAAACAGTTACGAAATCAGTCCATGTCGAGCTCGAGGGCTAGTGGACTGCTAAGGTGGCGAGCTGAAGCTAAGTCCTCGATGGAGCTAGC